CAGTGAGATCGGTATTGAGACTAGTAGTGAGATCGGTAGTGAGAACGATCGCGAGATCGATAGTGAGATCGGTAGTAAGATCGATAGTGATCGATAGCAAGATCGATAGTAAGATCGATAGTGAGATCGATAGTGCGATCGATTATGAGAAAGATAGTGAGGCCGTATCAAGATACATAGCGAGTGGGATAGTGAGATCGATTGGTAGATCGATAGTGAGATCAATAGTGAGACCTATAGTTAGAACGGTCGAGAGAGATCGAAAGTAAGATCAATAGTAAGATCGATTGTGAGGTCGATAGTGCGATCGATAATGATATAGACAGTGAGAGGGACAGTGAGATCGATTTGTATACCGATTGTAAGATCAATTGTGAAATCGATAGGGGGATCGATAGAAAGGTCGACAGTAAGATCGATTGTAATATTTACAGTGAGGTCTATAGTGGGATCAATAGTGAGATCGATAATGAGATCGGTAGTAAGGTCGATTGGGTGAGACGTTGATTCCTCCCTCTAACCTCCCTGTCACTCGCAAGGTGGTCGTATACGTATAGGGACTTGGACACATCGGTAGACTTGGGTACAGGGATCGTGTTCGGGATCAGGATGGGGCTGGGGATCGGGTTAAGTCGGGCGTGTCCCTCTACAGGAGGAATATTCAAAAGTAGTCAAAAAATCGTCAGGGGGCGATGTTTTACAATGTTTGAATGTTTCTGGTGTATTTTTGGCTACGTAGAATTTGTCGTCCGATATCCGCCTGAAGGGGGACACGCCCGACCTAAGGATAGGGACGGGGACATAGGATAAGGGATATGGCTAGCGGTGCAGGGACAGAGGCAGAGGGACAAAGGTGGGGATAGAGACGTGGATGCGGATAGGGACGGGGACGGCAGTGGGAGGCCACGGGAGGCCAAGGGGGGCAACGGGAGGCAACGGTGAGCCACGGAAGACAGCCGGAAGCCACGGGAGAAGGTGTCATCCGCCCGATTTTGGATCCAGCGACGCACCTGCTCGCTTCTCATAAAAAGAATAATCGGAACCCGTACAATGAAGTCGGGCTGGTCCCTCTACAGGAGGAATATTCAGAACTAGTTCAAAAGTAGTCTGGGGACGATTTGTTTTGTATGTTTTGACTTGTTTGAATGTGTGTTGACTTGTTTGAATGTGTGTTGAATGTGTGTTGTCTGCGGGAGGACATGCCCGACCTAAGCATACAGAGAAGCCGTTGGGGGAAAACCCATATGGAACCCTTGCAGACAAGCTGTTCAGGGAAAGCGTGGAACGCCAGACCAGCCGGCCATGGAGCCCAGACTCCTTGGCAAACCCAGCAGCGGTCAAGCTGGTGGCCCATGTGAGCCTCTCGGCGTCATCTGCTCCCGTGGGTGAGTTTGCGCACGCTCCAGGGCCTCTGGGGCTCTTTGAGGGCCTTTCTGGGATCCCGCAGGGCAGCCTTGGCGCAATCCTGTAAGCCATCGGCCAAACAAGCAAAGGACGACGTTCACTTGGCGACACCAGCTTGAGAGTCAAAGGATCTGCCTCTAGGGCACCTCCTGATAGAGTTTTGGACCTCCTTGGGCTGGTTTGGCGCGGCCGATTCCGTTGGATGGGGTCCGTTGCAGAGTCGAGCCTCGTGGAGTGGGTCGGGTGGCAAGCTCGTGACCCAAGCGATCTCGTACGACCCAACCCGCAGGTGGGAGCGTGCGGATCTACGTCGCTTGCGGTTCCATTTGGGTGGGTTGTTCGTGAAAGTTGTTCAAAGGCATTGTTTTGTTGCAGCGTCTATCGATCAGGGGTTCGGGAATTGGTCGGACCTTGTCCAGGCATCGTGGCGGCATCTAGGGGCACCCAGGGCTTCCAGAGGGCATCTTGGGAGTCTTTGGGGTTGTCGGGGTGGCCTCGAGTGCCGCGTTTGGGCATATCTGGCGCCACTGGGAGGCCTCTTGGGTCATCTGAGAGGCGTCGTGGGCCCCCTCGAGCGGGGCCTTCGGGCTTCTCTTGGCTTCTACTGGGCCCTCCCCGGGTCCATGTCGTGGCAAGTTGGGCGCCCTGCGAACACGTGGGACCATCTGAAACCGAAAGGGCCACAAATGGTGAAGTCGTTCCAACCCGCATGCGTTCACACGAATTTGATTTCTGTTGAGCCCTCCCTGGGTCCGAATGGTGGCAAAATGGGCGCCGTGCGAAAACGTGGGAGCATCAGAAACCGAAAGGGTTCGAAATGGTAAAGTCATCCCAGCCCGCATGCTTTCCCACGAGTTGTTCGTCTTTGGGGCCGTCCCTGGGTCCACGTCGTGGCAGACTGGGCGGCGTGTGAAAGCGCCTCAGGACCATCAGGAGCCGCAAGGGCGCAAAATGGCGCAGTCGTCCAAAAAGGCGCGTTGTCCCACGAGTTAAACGGCGTGTTTTCCCACGAGTTTGGCCTCTATTGGGCCCTCCCTGGGTCCATATGGTAGCAGACTGGGCGCCGTGTGAAAACGCTCCGGGACCATCAGAAGCCGCATAGGCGCGAAATGGCGCAGTCGTCCAAAAAAGCGCGTTTTCCGTCGAATTTGGAACCATTGGGCCCTCCCTGGGTCCATATGGTGGCAAACTGAGCGCCATGCGAAAACGCGGGAACATCAGAAACCGAAAGGGCGCGAAATGGTGAGATCGTCCAAGCCCGCATGCTTTCCCACGAGTTTTTCGTCTTTGGGGCCGTCCCTGGGTCCACGTCGTGGCAGACTGGGCGCCATGTGAAAGCGCCTCGGGACCATCAGAAACTGCAAGGGCACAATATGGCGCAGTCGTCCAAAAGGGCGTGCTTGCCCGAGAGTCTGGCTTCTATTGGGCCACCCCCTGTGGCAAGCTGGGCGCCATGCGACAGCGCGGGACCATCAGACACCGAAAGGGCGCGGAATGGCGCAGGCGTCCCAGCCCGCGCGTTTTCCCGCGAGTCTGGTTTCTATTGCCCCCCCCTGGGTCCATATCGTGGCAGCAAGTTGGGCGCCACGCGAAAGCGCGGGACCATCAGACACCGAAAGGGTGTGAAATGGCTCAGTCGTCCCAGCCCGCAAGCTTCCCCGTGCCGCAGCACCGCTCGCCGCTTTCGCCGTTGCCCGGGCACTCTCCCGCTCCTCCGCTGCCCCTCTCCCTCTTGATCCTGCTGGCGCACAGGGAGGGGCTCCTGGGCGCTGCTTCCTCTTGCGCTCGGGCCGACCCGGAGGAAGCGAGCGAACCTTCAGGCGATAAGAAACAATGCTCTGCCACGACGTTGGCGTCGGGAGGGACCCATGGAGAACGCATAGCCTCTCCACGCCTGTGCCTTTGGGGGGGAACGGCGCCAGGGGGCGGGGGCCCTGCTGCGGAGACACTGCAAGTCCGCTCGCCCAGTTCGGGGGTGGACAGACCTCCTACCCTGACACGTCGATTGAGGAATTGGCCGTTTTCGGTTCGCGAGAGGGCGTCGCGGCCGTCATTTTTGCGGGTCCAGGTCCGTCGGTTTCGGTTCCAGGCCGTTTTCACTAAGAGGAGGTTTACTAAAGGGAGGTTTGTCCACCGCCGACCAGTACGCGACGATTCGATCGGCAAAGGACGGAGACGTGCCGACGGCACGCCTTGGCCTGGAGCGCGCGCCCGACCGTCGTTGCATTTCCTTCGGCTTCCTTCGCGCCCGCGCTGCGAGTGCCCACTGCTCCTGCATGCAGGACCGACCCAGTATGGTCCACGGTCCTTTCAGGAGGAATTGTCTCCAGGCATGGTGGCCCTGATATTCCCCCCTCCTCCTCCTCCTCCTCCTCCTCCTCCTCCTCCTCCTCGCCCCGGTCTCCCGCCCGAGGAGGCCTTGCGAATGCTTCTTCCTCGGCGCTACCATGGGCAGCTCGGATGGCGCACCGTGTTCGTGGTCGCTCCGTCCCTGCTCCGCTCCGGTGCATCACCGCACCAGACAGGCCTGCGCTCTCTTCGGAGGCCCCAGGATCTCTTGGGGAGAGGCCCCGGAGCCCCGGGAGAGGGCCCAGAGCCTGTGTCTCTCAGCTTCTGCCAGAGCCTCGGAGCCTATCCGGGAGCGGCCCAAGAAGCCCTCGAAGAAACCCCACAGCGTCTGAAATGGATTCCAAGGTCTGTGGGGCAACTCGGAGCCTCTGGGAGAAGTTCCCCGGGCCAACACCAAGCGCCAGGCTCACACAAGTGGCAGCCCCCAGAGGCGAGAGTGGCACTTCTGAGCAAACGCGTGGACGTATCGAGCGAGAGCGCTGTTGCCTGTGGGGCCAGTACCGCGCCATGCATGCGTAAAGACTGATGTGCACACAATATATATATATATATATATATATATATATACATACATACATACATACATACATGCATACATGCAAACATGCAAACATGCATGCATTCATGCATGCATACATTTATACATGCATACTACATACATACATACATACATACATACATACATACATACATACATACATACATACATACATACATACATACACATATACATACATACATACATACACACATACATACATACATACATACATACATACATACATACATACATGCATGCATGCATGCATGCATACATGCATACATACATACATACATACATACATACATACATATACACACATACATACCTACACACATACATACAACATACATGCATGCATGCATGCATGCATACATACATACATACATGTATACATGCATACATGCATACATGCATACATACATACATGCATATATATACATATATATATATATACATATACATATACACATACATATATATATATATATCCATATATACACGCACGCAGTTGTTGGGTGTCGCGGCCACGCGCGCAGCGGCGCAGCGGAGTCCAAGTGGGGGCGAGAGACAACTCGCGGGCGGAGCCAGCGCACGCGGCAGGGAGCTGCCGGGTCCCAACACACAGAGAGAGAGAGAGGGAGAGAGAGAAGTACGTGAAATTGTATGTGCGAGTTGCGAATTGTATGTGGGAGCGCTCCTTCAGGAGACTCTGGTGGGCATGCATGGGGCTCCGAAGGAGAAGCACAGCCTCGAGCCGAACGCCGAGGGAAGGCGGTGGTCCCGGATGAAGAAGCTGTTTTCCATGCCGGCCACGCACATGCTGGTGAAGGCCCTGTTCTGGGTCTGCATCAGTTGCGTATTCCCCGAGGAGGATTACGTGTCCGACGAGGAGAAGGAGGCGCTGCTGGAGCTCCGCCGCAGGATGGCGGAGAGCTGGGTCAGCCTGTCTCAGGGCCGGGGCCCACGGGCACTCGTGCACGCGTCGGACAGCCTCGACGAGGCGCTGACCCTGTTCCCCGTGGCGCTGTCCCAGGTCGTGTTCCGCCTGCTTATCGACGCCTTCTCGGACGACAGGGACGCCATGATGCGCCACGCGAAGAGGTGGTTCGACAAGGTGTCCGACGTCGTTCACAGGGAGTTCTGGGGCTTCCGTGCGAACCGGGCCTCCGGCCACATACTGCGTTCGAAGCTGTTCATCAAGGCGGTGGTCGACCACCCGCACGCGAACCAGCTGGAGTCCATGAAGAGCGAGCTGCGGCTGGAGAAGTACAGCGCCGCGCGGCAGGAGCCGCTGGCCTTTGGCAGCCAGACCGGCGAGCCGTTGGACGACGTGCAGCTGCTGGAGCTGTTCCGGTGGCGGCAGAGCCAGATGCCCCCCCACGACTCGACGCATCGGGCATGGAGCCCCCAGCCGAGCATCCGGGCGTTGCCAAGGGTGTCCCTGGCCCCAGGGTGCACCCAGGACTGCCGGGGAGGCCCAGGCGGCCTCTCCAGAGCACCCCACCAGGAGGCCCACAGGGGGCCCCAGGGTTTGAGCAGTGGCGCGGTGAGAAAAGTCGGGGGCACCTTGGGCCAGGGCCACGTCTGGCAACGCCCGAAGCATGGACCGCTCCTCGCTCACCGAGTTCCGCCCCGGGCAGCAGCGCACGGGCTCTGAGACCCCCCTGGCGTCGACGGCGGGCGGCAACGGCAGGGCCGTGGTTCCCTTCCTGCCCGTGGGCGCCGAGGAGCTCAACGCCGATCGCTACGGCCACCTCGACCGGGAGGCCCAGGAGCTGTTCGTGGAGCAGAGCAAGCGCTTGTACCCGGACACGGGGGACGTGATGCTCCACACAGACGGGAACAGGACTCGGAGAAGGAGCAAAGACAGCATGGGCATAAATGTTCGAGGCTCCGCGCGGACCCTGGAGCTTCGCGCGGAGCTCCGAAAATGTGTGCTTAGATGCTGTCTCTTTTTAAGGTCGGAGGTGGATAGACCTCCTACCCTGACACGTCGATTAAGGAATTGGCCGTTTTCGGTTCGCGAGAGGGCGTCGCGGCCGTCATTTTTGCGGGTCCAGGTCCGTCGGTTTCGGTCCCAGGCCGTTTTCACAAAGGGGAGGTTTACTAAAGGGAGGTTTGTCTACCGCCGATAAGGACGCACGACGGCTTCATGGCGCGGTCCGACGAGGGCACGGGCATTCGCCGCAAGCGCAGTTCTCAGCCCCGGCTCTGGAGGGTCGAAATGTGCCCATACCACTGCTCCCCCGACCTCTCCCCGGGTGCGCCGCGTAATGGGGGGGTCATAAATGGGGGGGTGGCGAGGGTGGTTCGAAAAGGTACCCAAACGGTACCTAAGCGAGCCCCCTGGGGCTCTGGAGGGGCCCGAAAGGGGCACGAAAGGGGACCGTTTCTGACCCCCCCGTTTATGACCCCTCCATTAAGTCCCGCTCGAGATTTCCAGGCGAACTCGGCTGTGGCGACAAGGGCCTCCCGAAAGGCGAAGGCGAGACCAGGGCACGCTGACCCCCGCCGATGTGAATTTCTCAGTCTGCGGCCCTGGAGGTCACCCGGAGGTCCCGACCCTTACCCCCGGGGGCAGGCGTCCGGCTTGGACCCCTTGTGGATGGGCCCGGGGCCCAGTAACGGCCAGAGGCCGAGACGGAGGGAAAACGCCCCGATTGAAAGAATCAGATCTTCGGAGAAATTGGTACGGTGGGCTCGTGTCGTGTCGACTGGCGGCGACCCCGCCGCCAGCGTTCAACGTTCAACACTGCCGGCGACCCTTACTCGGTCGATGGCGAACCATATTCTAGGCCTCCTCGATGGGGTCGGAGTAGATGGGGTCGGAGGATCGCTCCGCATCGCCGATGCATCGGCGATGCGGCTCGATGTGAAGCCCGAAGTCCTCCGCGTCGGCATCGCCGATGCATCGCGCACGTCGACGACGCGTTGCCAGTGCATCCCCGGTGCATCGCCGATACATCGCCGATGCATCGTCGATGTATCGGCGATGCGGCGCGATCCTCCGACCCCATCTACTCCGACCCCATCTAGGAGGCCTCTAGATATGACGTTCCAGGAACGGCCGATCGTTCAAGGTTGAACGATCCCCGCGGTTTCAGAAGTCAACGCTGAAGTCGGCACGACACGAACCTGCCGCAGCGGCATCGGCATCCTAGGTCACCGGGGAGGCGCGAAGGTACCCGCGCTCCGCGCGTCGAGGTCTGGGCCAGAGCATGAGCAGCTGTCCTTTTCCAAGGGGGTGGCGCGAGGGCGACGAGGTAGTCGCGCAACGCGGGTCGCGGGGCGCGGTGCGCCAAGTTGGGCGACCTGGGTACATCTTTCCCCGAGGCGAACCGACATGTCAGGATAGCCTTAGGTCGGGCATGTCCTCCTACAGGCGGATTTTGGAAGAACAAAAACATAGCCAACAAAATGCTCAAGCATAGTCCAGAGAGCACGAAACATCGTCCCCACCCTATGTTTTACGATTCTTAAAGTTTCATCCTGTAGAGGGGCCTGTCCGACTTAAGGATAGCCCGCTCGAAAGGCAGCGGATTGCCTCCTATCCACTATTGTTGTTCCTCGTTGTTACCATCTTGCATCGTCTTTCTTCCCGTGTCCGCCCTTCCCTTGCTGGCCAGTGTCGTTCCGGGGGCGGCGCGAGGGCGCAAAGGTAATCGCGCATCGCAGGGCGCGGTGCGCCAAGTTAGGCGATATCCCGCTCTTTTCATATTGGATTGTTTGTTTTCCCTTGTCCGCCCTTCCCTCGCTGGCCGTGATTACGGTAATGAACATGGTCATGATCATGATCAGGGTGATGATGAGTGTTGTGATGGTGACAGTGATATTAATGGTTTTGATGGTGATGATGAGTGGGCGAATGGTGATACTGATGTTGTTGGTGGTGTTGATTATGATGTTGATGATGGTGATAATTCGTATGATGACGATGCTGATACTGATGATGCTGCTGATGGTGATGATGATGTTGACGATGCTGATGGTGATGATGATGCTGATGCTGATGATAATAATGATTATGATGATGATGATGGTGATGATGATGATGGTGATGGTGATAATGATTGTGGTGATGGTGATTGTGGTGGTGATTGTGCTGATGATGCTATTGATGCTGATGATGCGTATGATGACGATGCGGATGCTGATGCTGATGTTGCTGCTGATGATGGTGATGGTGATGATGTTGACGATGATGATGATGATGATGATGATGATGATGATGATGATGATGATGATGAAAGAGATAATGATGATGGTGGTGATGATGATGATGATGCTAAGGTTAATGGTGGTGGTGGTGATGATGATGGGAATGATGATGGTGATGGTGATGGTGGTGATGCTGATGATGGTGATGGTAATGGTGGTGGTGAATGTGACGATGATGATGATGATGATGACGATGATGATGATGATGATGATGATGATGATGATGATGATGATGGTGGTGATGCTGGTGCTGATGATGGTGATGATCATGATGATGATGATGATGATGATGACGACAACAGCGATGATGTTGATGGTCATGCGGATGCTGCTGCTGATGATGGTGGTAATGATGACGATGTATCACCATCTGTAAAAAATAACGACATCAGCATCAGCATCACCATCGTCCGCCCTTGCCTTACTGGCCAGTGCCGCTCCTCCGAGGCTCACCGACATGTCGGAGGGGTCGCGGCGAACAGGCCTCACCGACGACGAGTCGCGGTCCGCAGGCCTCCGCAGGCAGCAGCAGCGGCGGTCTGCCGCCGTGCAGCGCCGGCGGCGCGACGAGAGGCTGCAGGAGCTGCTGCAGGATCGGGCGGTGCACAGGTCTTTGGCCTCCCAGATGGAGTCGGAATAGATGCAGGGGAACAGACACGGACATAAGCGCAACTCCACTACCCTTTCGCTGGCGTGGCCTTTGGTGCGGGCCGAATGGGTCCCCCTGATCGCTGCTCACGAAGCAGTAGCAGCAGCTTGCGCGCCCAGGTTTGGCCACCCCGCGTCCCCCGTTAAGCCGCGCACCACAAAGATCACTCTTGCCCAGGGTCACTCTTACGTATTGCCGAATAAGACCTCTGAGGTCCGCGCGGGTTCCTCGGATCGGCGCCGGGGTCCTCTGGCGGCGCCTCCGGCGCCGTCCCTGGTGCGCTCCGCGCGCCAGAGAGGGGGGGTCCAGCGCCGAGCCGAGGAATCCGCGAGGACCGTGTTTGCATGTCAGTGCTTGTTCCTTGTTGCCAGAAGTGTCCCTGGCTCAAGGTGTCCCCGGGACTTCCGAGGAGACATCAACGACCTCCAGAGCACCCCTCTCGAGGCCTCAGAGGGCCCCAGGGGCTCCAAAGATTGAGCGAAAAGCGGGGGGCACGTTGGGCCACGGGCACCTTTAGCACCCCCCGACCAGATGGGATCGGAGCAGATGGGGTCGGAGACATCGAGCCGCATCGCCGATGCATCGGCGATGCGGCTCGATGTCTCCGCGCTGGCATCGCCGATGCACCGCCGACGTCGCCGATGTATCGTCGATGCCTCTTCGATGCGTTGACGATGCGGCGCGATCCTTCGACCCCATCTACTCCGACCCCATCTGGAAGGCCTCTACACAAAGGGGTTCACCAGGGGGGGGTCGAAGGTCGAAGTTTTCGATGTTCGAGACCTTCGGGCGTCGTCGTCCGCTCTCGGCGGTCCTCCAGCCCCGGGGGGTCACCAGGGGCGCTCTCCGGCAACTGCGGCTCGCCGAGAGCCTTCCGGGGGTGCCCAAAGCGTCCCCGGAACGGCCGCCGAAGACCCGGGCTGTGACTCAGAGCGTGGATTACCTACCCCGCTTTCGCTTCCAGGCAAAACCAAGTCATACCACGCGCCGCCTCTCGTCAAGCGGCCTGACCAGTACGGGCCGTAGTTTGGCATCGCTTGGTATCTCTTGGAAGCGAGGGTGGTCAAAAGCGAGGTAGGTTTGCTTGCCCCCTAGTGACCCAAAGCTAGACGGGTGCCCGCGTCGTGGCGAAGTCGCGGCGCACGGCTTCTGGCCGCGTGCGGCCCCTGCATGGGGGCCCGCAGCGGGGCCCGGGGGACCGCCGGAGGAAGGCGCGGGATGAAGAGGGCAGGGGCCGGGACTTCCGAGGACCCCGTAGACTCGCAGGGCTGGGAGGGGGAGGTCACCACCGGAGAGTCACCACGAGACTAGTTGTGCCATCCCCTGGCGGCGCAGGCAGCACGGACAGTAATCAGGAGGGAAAAAACATTCAGACACAATTAATCGTCGATCCCCAGAAAATATGGGAAAATATGGGAAGTGGGGGGGAAGACAAAAACTCAAAAAATATAGGAGAATATGGGGAATCATTTTATTTGTGTGTCCTGGGGCCCCTTCAAGTAAGGATGACCAACTTCCCCAGGGCACCTATGCACCCTTGCCTCTTCGGGCAGCTTCAGCCATTCTTGGCCACACTCGATGGCCAGCCCCGCTCGGAGAGCCTCGGCGTGGGCGTCCAAGGCCCTTGCATACTCACCGCGCATCCTTGCTATCAGTTTTGACCGTGGGCCAGCGTGATCGGGGAGGAGTGGGCCAGGGGGGGGCCAGGGAGGCGGAGCCAGTCACGGACGTGGTCGGGCTGAACAAACGAGTGGGCTCGAGACGGGCGGAGGGCGAGCGGAGGAGGCAGAGCCAGTCACGGGCGTGGTCGGGCCTAACAAACGAGTGGGCCCGCCACGGGGGGAGGGCGAGCGGAGGAGGCGGGGCCAGTCACGGGCGTGGTCGGGCCTAACAAACGAGTGGGCTCGAGACGGGCGGAGGGCGAGCGGAGGAGGCGGAGCCAGTCACGGGCGTGGTCGGGCATAACAAACGACTGGGCTAGAGATCGGGGGAGGGCGAGCAGAGGAGGCGGAGCCAGTCACGGGCGTGGTCGGACATAACAAACGACTGGGCTCGAGACGGGGGGAGGGCGAGCGGAGGAGGCGGAGCCAGTCACGGGCGTGGTCGGACATAACAAACGACTGGGCTCGAGACGGGGGGAGGGCGAGCGGAGGAGGCGGAGCCAGTCACGGGCGTGGTCGGACATAACGAACGAGTGGGCTCGAGACGGGGGGAGGGCGAGCGGAGGAGGCCGAGCCAGTCACGGGCGTGGTCGGGCCTAACAAACGAGTGGGCTCGAGACGGGCGGAGGGCGAGCGGAGGAGGCGGAGCCAGTCACGGGCGTGGTCGGACATAACAAACGAGTGGGCTCGAGACGGGGGGAGGTCGAGCGGAGGAGGCGGAGCCAGTCACGAGCGTGGTCGGGCAGAACAGACGAGCAGAGGGGCTGGAGAGATGTGCCACTCGTGGGTCACGAGCTCCTCCTCCTCCTCCTCCTCCCCCTCCTCCTCCTCCTCTTCCTCCTCCTCCTCCTCCCCCTCCTCCTCCTCCTCCTCGTCCTCGTCCTCCTCCTCCCCCTCCTCCTCCTCTCCTCCTCCTCCTCCTCCTCCTCTCCTCCCCCCTCCTCCTCCTCCTCCTCCTCCCCTCCTCCTCCTCCTCCTTCTCCTCCTTCTGCCCCTCCTCCTCCCCCTCCTCCTCCTCCTACTCCTCCTCCTCCTCATCCTCCTCATCCTCCTCATCATCCTCCTCATCCTCGGCGCTGATCCGCAGGAGGACCTCGCGGGCCACAACGAGATGACCACCGTGCTCGTCTCCCCCCTCATCCGGAAGAAGACCACCCAGACTTCGCTTGCGTCGTGGCAGAAATTACGACGCCGCCGCCGCCGACGACGACGACGACGCCTACGCTGGACACGACGACGCCGACGCCGACGCCGCCGCCGCCGCCGACGACGACGACGACGACGCCGACGACGCCGACGACGACGACGCCGACGACGACGACGACACCGACACGCAGACCCCCTCGCGTCATGGCAAAAATCACGACGGCAGGTTTTCGGCCGTTTCCGGCCTCGGGAGACCCTCGCCTGGCCCTGAGACCGTCCAAAGCGACTCGACATAAAAACATATCATCTTGGCGACGGACCCAAGCACACGATGTCGTGAGTACCGCGTTGTGGGTACCGCTTTCGGTGGAGCTCCCTAGGGCCACGAACCGCGTGATGAGTTTGCCGAAAATGGGCGTCGGGCGCATGCGGACCCTGCCACTGGGCCCTTCGGCGGAGCTCCCTGTGGGGCCACGAACCGTGTGAGGGGTTTGCAAAAATGGGCGTCGGGCGCATGCAGACCCTGCCGCTGGGGCCTTCGGTGGAGCTCCCTGTGGGGGGGGGGCCACGAGCCGTGTGACGGGTATGCCGACATGGGCGTCGGGCGCATGCGGACCCATTGGGGCCTTCGGTGGAGCTGCCTACGAGACCACGAACCGTGTGAGGGGTTTACCGAAAATGGGCGTCGGGCGCATGCGATCCTTGCCACTGAGTCCTTCAGCGGAGCTCCCTGTGGGGCCACGAACCGTGTGATGGGTTTGCCGAAAATGGGCGTCGGGCGCATGCGGACCCTGCCACTGGGCCCTTCGGTGGAGCCCCCTATGGGGCTACGAACCCCGTGAACGGGGTGCCGAAATGGTTGACATGTGAAGGGCAGAGGCAGGAATTGGAGGAGGGAGGAGAGGGAGGAGGAGGAGGAGGAGGAGGAGGAGGAGAAGAGGAGGAGAAGAGGAGGAGAAGAGGAGGAGGAGGAGGAGGAGGGGAGGAGGAGGAGGAGGAGGAGGAGGTGGGACGCGGGGCGCTATCTCTTCAAAACGAGGACCCAACACCACAGGATGGTTGGGAATAAGGCGGAGACCCCGCATGGGAAAAATCAAAACGGCGCATGTCTGGGAAGTCGGCACAGAATGAAACTTTCGGAGCTCCGCGCAGATTTCTTGGATCGGCGCTGGGGCCCCCCTGGCGGCGCCGCCACCGGCGCGCTCCGCGCGGCGCCAGGGACGGGAGCCCAGCGCCGATCCGAGAAGTCCACGCGCGGAGCTCCGAGAGGCCGTGCCTGGACCGGCTGCTCTTCTTCTGCCGTCGAGTGCCTGGCGCCCAGCGGGGGGCACCTGCAGAAGCCCCACGGCGAGACCCTCCACCTGCGGAGACTGCCGCCCAGGGCCGACGGGCCGCTGCACTGGGACACGATGGACCGTGCGCGGGCGGGGGGAGGGTGGCGGTGCCAGTGCCCGCAGCCTCCCGGCCTGGACTCCGCGGCCGCGTCCCCGTCGCGCGGCTGCTCCGCGCGGACCGCCCCCAGGGGGCGGCGCCTCGGTGTCCAGACCACGAGGGCATGGGCATGGGCACGGTCGTCGCCTTACGTCGGGCGTGCCCCTGTACAGGAGGAGGGTTGAAAGATAGTCCAACAGATAGTCTGGCAACGACTTGTTGCGAGTAGTGGTTGGCTATGTTCGATTAGTTGGGGGGAGTTTTGCATTTTCGTCCAAAATCCGTCTGTAGGGGGGCGTGCCCGACCTGATCGTCGCCCGCGAGGACTGGAACAAGCGGCGCGGCCCGAAGAGGAGCCTGGTGCCAGCCCTGAAGAGGGAGAAGGCCAGCTCGGCCCCTCCTCCTCCTCCTCCTCCTCCTCCTCCTCCTCCTCCTCCTCCTCCTCCTCTGCCGTGTATGTGCGATATATCTCGCCTGTGCCGCGGCCTGGCCAAAGCCCGCTCCAAACACACTAGGCTTAAGTCGGGCCTGTCCCTGCACAGGAGGAATCTTCGAAAATAGAGTGAAAATTGCTATGTTTGAGCAGTTGTTTTGCTTATCCTCCAAAATCCGCCTGTAGGAAGACATGCCCGACCCAACACTGGCCCCGAGGCCCCTCCCAGAGCCGAGGCCCCGGCCGGCGCCTCGAGCCGCGCGCGGCCGCGACGACGAGGGCCTCCAGAGACGCCCCGAGGCCCCCAGAGAGCGGCACCGAGCGGCGCCCCCAGACATGCCGATGTTTTTCGGCGGCGAGCGAGGGGGGACGAGGTGTGAAGGAGAAGGCCTTGGCAGAAGGCGGCGGGACGTTTCAGAAGCCCTCGCGCCTGCTGAGAGGCTCAGAGGTGTTCTGTGTCGTCGGGGAAGGCTTAGACAACTGCTTAAAGGCCGGTTGACTTCCGAGCCTTCGGAGCGGGCCCGCCCCTGCTCGCTTCCCCCCCTCGCTCGCCGCCGAGTTTTGAGTGTGTCCGTGCTGGGCACCCAGAAGCCCCGATCCCTTCCCCAGGGCCCGCGGCTCTTCCCGCGCCGTTTTCTGAAGGTCCGGGAGGCCCAGCGAGGGCCCTCAGGGGCCGAAGATGGTCCAAATTTTCCCGTCGCGATGGATGTTACGACGCGAGCCCGTCTGTCAGATGAGAAAACGGTACATATGTACCACTATTCTTCCCTCGATTTCCTTTGTGAAGGCCTCTTGGGAGGCCCTCGGCGCCACCGCTGCATTCGCCTCGAAATCCTGGTCAGAACACACCCTGGGAGAGGTCCGGGGAGTAGCGACATTGTACTTGATGGTTTCCCCAGTCGAAGCGCAGAGACCCCCAGAACGACAGCCCCAGAGATCCGATGTCGTGATTTTTTCCATACGCGGTCCCCAGAAGTCTTGACCCGTTCCCCAGGACCAGTTTTTCATCCTGAGTCCTTTTTGGACGGTCCCGAGGCCCGGCGAGGGCCTTTTGGAGCCGAAATCTGCGAAGAAAAAATTCTTCACGCTTTGCGTATCCCCACCAGCCCATCTCAAAACAGCAACGCTTGCGAAGCATGCCGACAGTCGTGTTTTTCAGGCGTGTTTCCGCCTGCCCCCGCATATCTCCCCTGTTCCTCCTTCCTCCCGCCTCCTTGTACATCCTCCTTGTGGTGGGAGCGGGAGAAGGACGAGGCGGAGGAGGAGGGAGAGAAAGCGCTCCTCGTGGTTTGAGTCGTTTGGGGTTTCTCGTCCTGGTGTGAGTCGTTCGGGCCCTTCTTCCTGGTGTGAGTCGTTCGGGCTCTTCGTGGTGTGAGTCGTTCGGGCTCTTCGTCCTGGTGTGAGTCGTTCGGGCTTCTCGTGGTGTGAGTTGTTCGGGCCCCTCGTCCTGGTGTGAGTCGTTCGGGCCCCTCCTCCTGGTGTGACTCGTTCGGGCTCCTCGTGGTGTGAGTCGTTCGGGGCCCTCGTCGTGGTGTGAGTCGTTCGGGCTCCTCGTGGTGTGAGTCGTTCGTAGTAGTAGTAGTAGTAGTAGTAGTAGTAGTAGTAGTAGTAGTAGTAGTAGTAGTAGTAGTAGTAGTAGTAGTAGTAGTAGTGTAGTAGTAGTAGTAGTAGTAGTAGTAGTAGTAGTAGTAGTAGTAGTAGTAGTAGTAGTAGTAGTAGTAAGAGTAAGAGTAAGAGTAAGAGTAAGAGTAAGAGTAAGAGTAAGAGTAAGAGTAAGAGTCAAGCTAGCCAGCTCGAGCGAGTCAAGCATGGCATGCCCAGTCCCACCCGCCCTCCCACAACATAAGAAGCAAAGCTGGCACAACTGGGGGCCGAAGTCACACCGGCCAGCCGGTTTGGTACAGCTGATGCGGCCGCGATGGCGGTTGCCGACGGGAACTGGCGAGCGCGTGTTGAATGCCGCGCACGCATTGCCAGACGAGTCGAGAATGGCCCGGTACACCGCAGGAAGCCAGAGGTGGCCGGAGGAAGCCCGACGGTCTGACAGGACACCCCAAAGCATTTTTGTGAAAAAGCATTGGGTTTTTGATGTTTTTATGTTGAAATGCTTGCAAACACACGGTGTTCGGTAGGATTCTGACATGAACGCGCGAGTGTGCTCTTTGTGGTATTTTTTGCACAGGATTCGCGGCCTGGGTGCATGACAGAGCATCGCGAGTGCACCGCGCGATGACGTGAAATCGCTGGATTTGACCGAATTCTTAAGATTCCTATGGTTTTCCTATGATTTCAGCAAGAGAGCCCGGGCGGGAAATTTGTATAATTTTTGTGAAAAAGCATTGGGTTTTTGATGTTTTTATGTTGAAATGCTTGCAAACACACGGTGTTCGGTAGGATTCTGACATGAACGCGCGCGTGTGCTCTTTGTGGTATTTTTTGCCATGGATTATCGCCGTGGACGACAGGACGTCCATGTCGAGAGGAAAAAATAAGAAAAATGTTGATTTTGTATTGTTTTTTACAGGTTAGGATGGGACCACCCGGATGCGGCCCCTAATGGCCGGCCTGAGGGGGGAGTAGGAGTATATTCTAATAAGGAATAGGATAAGGAGTAAGAGTAGTAGTAGTAGTAGTATAGTAGTAGTAGTAGTAGTAGTAGTAGTAGTAGTAGTAGTAGTAGTAGTAGTAGTAGTAGTAGTAGTAGTAGTAGTAGTAGTAGTAGTAGTAGTAGTAGTAGTAGTAGTAGTAGTAGTAGTAGTAGTAGTAGTAGTAGTAGTAGTAGTAGTAGTAGTAGTAGTAGTAGTAGTAGTAGTAGTAGTGGTAGTAGCAGTAGTAGTAGTAGTAGTAGTCGTAGTAGTAGTAGTAGTAGTAGTAGTAGTAGTAGTAGTAGTAGTAGTAGTAGTAGTAGTAGTAGTAGTAGTAGTAGTAGTAGTAGTAGTAGTAGTAGTAGTAGATGTCTTTGGGAGCCTCTTGGAGGCCTTTTGGGGCGTCTTGGGGGCCTCTTGGCGGCCCCAGGGGCTTCTAGGAGCGTCTTGGGTGCCTTGGGGGAGCCTCTTCGGGCCTCTTGGGAGCCTCTTGGAGGCCGTTTGGGGCGTCTTGGGGGCCTCTTGGCGGCCCCAGGGGCTTCCAGGAGCGTCTTGGGTGCCTCGGGGGAGCCTCTTGGGGCCTCTTGGGGGCCTCTTGGGGGCATCTTGGGGGCCTCTTGGAGGCCTCTTGGGGCCTCTTGGGGCTCTTTGGGAGGGGTCTGGGAGGCATTTTGGGGCCATCTTTCGGGCGATCGATCACAGCTGGGGCAAGCATTTTTCTGCCTCCCCCCGTCGGGGCCAGAATCCTCGTGAGGGGTGTCGAATTTTAGCCCTCCCAGGAGTCGAAAAGGACCCCTCCAACCACCCGCGGGGCGCCCTCTCCAGGCCCAGGGGGAGGGGGCAGGGGGAGGGGTAAACCCCTCCCCGAAGGGGAAGAAGGGGGTTGAGAGCAGAGCGGGCTCTCTAAACCACTCACGCCCAAAGGGCTGGTGGGACTCCGTCTTGCGAAGAACATCCGTCTCGATTGCGGATCTCTGGGGCGCTCGGCGCCGTCGCCCGACGCCCGACGCCCGACGCCAGGCCACCGACGACGCGCCCGCGTCGAGCCGGGCCCCCGGCGACGAGCCTCGCCGCCCCTCCGCCCGGCCGCCCGCCGACCAGCCGCCCAGCGCGGCGCCCAGCCGAGCACGCCGCCGACGCCGCCGACGCCGACGCCGACGCCGACGCCGACGCCGCCGACGACGCCGACGCCGACGCCGACGCCGACGCCGACGCTGCCGACGCCGCCGCCGACGCCGCCGGCATCAGAGCCTCAACGTTGCCATTTTAGATGGATCCACTCACGGATCCAGTTCTCGCTTCTGCATCATTGTCTTCATTTCATGCGTAGCGTGCTTTCCTAGGGGAACAAACAATGCCATAAACGTAAAAACTCTGAGGCCCGCGCGGATTCCTCGGACTGGCGTTGAGACCCCCTGGCGGCGCCTCCGGCGCCGCCCTGGCGCGCTCCGCGCGCCATGGAGGGGGGTCCCAGAGCCGATCCGAGAAATCCGCGCGGATCTCAGAGATTTTATGTTTATGTCACGGTTTGTTCCCTATATTCCCCCTCGCGTCGTGACAAGAATTACGACGTAGGGTTTACGGCCGTTGTCGGCCCCCGCGGGGGCCCTATAGCGCCCGGCCTTGGGACCGTGAAAAAAGCCGGCTCGGAGTGGCAACCCGGGTCTTGGGGAGAGGGTCGGGACGTCGGGGGCCCCGCACGGACAGAGTCGAGACATATCATGCCTGGGATTAGGTCGGGCATGTCCCCTCCTACAGGGGGATTCTGGACGACAGGCAAATTCAAAACCAAAAAAGCATAAAAAGTGTGTTTACAAAGAAATACTCGAACAGTCGTCCCCTAATAATCTTTTTGACTATTTGGGAATGTTCCTCCTGTAGAAGAGGACGTGCCCGACTTGAGCCTGGGACCACGACGCCGACTTCGACGACGAGGGGGGACCGAAAGCTCGCGCTGGGCTTTTTGTTCATAAACTTCGGCCCCCCATGGGGGGGGCCGTATTCGGGCCCCCCCGGGGGGCCCCCGTAGCTCGGCCTGTGAGGGAGAGAGCTGGCCCGGACTCCAGGAGAGGTCTGGGGACCGACTTCGAATGGATTCTCGCAGGTTGAGGAGGAGGAGGAGGAGGAGGAGGAGGAGGAGGAGGAGAGAGGAGGAGGAGGAGGAGGAGGAGGAGGAGAAGGAAGAGGAGAAGGAAGAGGAGAAGGAGGGGGGGCGGGAGGACGACGACGATGATCGAGGTTCGAGGACCGAAGTTTTGGAGCGTCCCTGGGGCTTTGGGGGGGGCCTGGAGGCGCCACGGCCAGACGCCCAATCGGCGCAGCGGTTGTTGGAAACCGCCATGGCTTCGACCTTCTCTTAGCAGTTGTGTTCTAGAGCTCGGAGGCTTTTATGTTCGTCGTGGTCGTCGTCGCTCGCCCCCCCTCCCCTTCCCTCCCCCTCCCCCAGTTCCTCGTCTCCTTCCTCCTCCTCCTCCTCCTCCTCTTCCTCCTCCTCCCCTTCCTCCTCCTCTTCCTCCTCCTCCCCTTCCTCCTCCTCCTCCTTCTTTTCCTCCTCCTTCTTGCAAGATGCAGACGACCTACCAGGACGACGCGGCGATGGACGACAGAGAGCGCTTGGCCAAGGTGACACTCGTGAGCAACACCAGCCCGTGCTTCAGAGCGGCCCTTTTCAAGGACAACATCGAAGAGGACAAGATGACGGCGCTGCTAGGTTTCCAAGCGGTGATGTTCAAGCAGGCGTTCAACGCGGCGATCGCGTATCAGAGGGGGGGGTCAAGAGCAGCTCGGGGGGGCCGAAGACGGGCTTCGAGAGGGCGGTAGAACGCCAGCTCAAGCGCCGCCGTTGAGTGAACCACGAGCCAGTTCCATCGGGGCCACCGAGAGCCTCACTCCCCCCCACCACACACGCAGCCCGTCAGAGCACTCAGCTGCTGCAGGTCTCGCGTCCTCGAGCGAATCAGCTTCGACTCGAGGGCCTCCCGTTATGCCACCGCATATGAGAGAGGAACAACATAGCTATGTCCATCAGTCAGAACCATGCACGAGTCCAGTGACTACGAAACAAAGCGCAGAAACACAGGGGAGATATGGCGAACATACGGCGTACAGCTACGTACTACAGGGAACTACGCACAAGGGACTACCAGGTGGCCACTAGAAAGGGGGAGACACTTACACGCCCCCCCTACATGCAACGGGACCACCGCCCCCCTTTTCCTCCTCCCACTTCACAACCCGAGGCAACTAGTTTACCGCTATGCAAGGCTCCCGCTCCAATTATACTGTCATCACACGCAGCAAAAGACAACGAGCTTCAACGTTGTCCACAATCGGACACAGGAGGCACAGCAATGCAAGGCAGGCTGGCCTGTAAGAAGAGCAGCTACGGCTACATACGTACTAAGGGTTGGGTTCAGAGGCTTTCTTTTGCAGCGCACTACGCCCGACATAACGGAAGGCGCGGCCGAGGGATGCAGCCCAAGAGGAAGGAGGGAGGAGAAGAGGAAGAAGACGACTGGCCAAGCGATGACCTCGACGGGCTCTTTGTGCGCATTGCGGACCTGAATTGCACGTGCCTTATGTCGGACGAAGCGGTTCCCTTGTTCCAATGTGTGCATGTGTTTCCGCATCAGCTGAGCAGGATCTTGCAGAGGAAATGACAGCTACCCATAGCCCGCTCATTGAATCCGACCCAATGTGTCAGCCTGACGATCATTCGCCTCCGCAGCCACGTCATAGACTGTGTGGGAACAGATCCAGCTCAGTCGGACGAGTGCGTTGACCCTCGATGGGGGGTACTGTTGTTCATATCTACAGAAGACTTTCGAATCAAAGGCCCTTGGGAGATCACTCAAGAAGACCTTGCGCGGGAAGCAGAAGAGGCACTTGGGTGAGACGACGAGGAGGCATATTGGGAAATCGTTTGCGACGGTCCAGTAACCCAGCAGCTAGGAGGGTAGAACAGGCAGCCACGCCCACGCGGGGCCCAATAAGAGACGACATCGCCTTGTAACTACGACGAGATCTACTCCTCATTGGGAAGCAGGGCATGGGCCACTGGAGTTGGGCCAATAAACATACTACACAGGGGCCGGCACTACGACGGGAACAAAGCTTACACACGTGCCAGAATACCGATGACGGCTTCCGTTTGGTAAGGGGTCAAACAGAGTCGTTTCCCCCTCTGCACAGAACAACTACAGAGGGCCCCACGACGCACGCACCACAGGGAGCCACTCGAGGCCAAACGGGTGCCACAACATCGAGCCGCACAAGGCATGTGTAGAACATGAGGGTAGGAGAACAAGGACTATTACAAGGAACCGACTCACTCCAAGGACAACCAGAATAATATCGAGGGCGCAGGAGAGCCACAGCCCCGACAACCACGACGGCCCCTTTGCTCCGTAGCTGTTTTGGCTGACCCAACCAACGGGCGAGCTACCCTCTGTCACGCGGCAGCGACTGCAACCAGTGCCGATCTGCGATGGCAGACGCCTCCCCAGCGCAGCCCAGCAGCCAAGTGGCGTGGTTGAACGGAGCGGAGGACAACAGCGACAAGGCCGTGTTGATCCAGAAGCCACGCGTGCGTGGAGGACATCTAGAGCAAGTGTTCGGCAGTATGGAGCACAGGCTCCACGCGGCCCGCGCGAGCTTGCAGGCGACGGCGTTCGTCCTCACCTCCAAGCAGGACACGACGACGAAGCTCATTAACGAACTCCAGAGGCGGGAAGAGCGCATCACAACCAGCCCATGGCGCATCGCTCACCACCGCTGCCTCAACCCGCACGAGGAGATGGAACGCGCCCAGTGCATCGAGATCCTAGAGCACCAGCTAAAAAGCGAAGAAGACCTTGAAGTCGGCGAGGAGCCTCCACACGCGCCTCAGGGACACCCCCCGCCACATCTAGTGCCCATTCCCGTGGAAGTCCGACGATGGTCGACGCCAGCATGGCGACCTCGAGGGCGTCTTCACCAAGTGGCCGAAGGGACCGCAGGGGTACGGCTACGACGAGGCGGAGGCACCGCAGCCAGCGGGTCACCAGGCTGCCAACCAAGCGTTAACGACGACATGCCAGCCGAGGGCCCCATGCACGTCACCGTCGCTGTCGTTTCAGGGATGGAAAAGGCATTACAAAACGGACACGGAGGCAGAGATGCGCGCAGCGAGTACGTCAGGTGCGAGGAGCAGCAGCGATGGCCGCCTCACCGACCCACAGATTGCGGCCAGGGCAGGATGGGGGTTCGGCCTGATGGAGCGAGCAGGCAGACAGTGAAGCTCGTTTTCCGGGCAGCGGCGGAGCAGCAGCAGCCACAATAGCAGTGCGTGCGCGGGTAATCTTTTATAGTCCTCAGTGGCAGGCGTCAGAGAGCGTCCCTCTGCCAGCGCGCAACCACCCATAAGACGCAGAGGCCACACTTTGTTTTGGCCCAACGCATACAGGGCGAGGGGGTAGGGGTCGGACAAGTACTCGAAGTACCAGGCCATGTTTTTTTGGTTTTGCATGTTGCTAGCTGCGAGAGTGGCAGAGTAGCGGCTGGGGGGGGAGAGGAGGGCGGGGGGAGGTCCTCAGAGTCGACGGTCCGCCTGTCCAGGCAGCCGTCGGCCCCTGCTCTTATCTCGAATGAGTGGGTGCGCAGGGGTCCCTGCGGCGGGGCAGCTTCTCCGCGCTGCCCGCTGCCGAGGCTGCAGCAGCGCGGGGAGCCCGCCCGAGGCAGTCTCTAGGGCCGACGGCGATTGGTTCAGGGGCAGGCTCCGTATAGTTCCCAGGGGCCCACTCAGGTTTCAAGCTGCAAACACCACGGACCCCCAGCGGCCTTTTACTTCTACCTTTACCATTACCATTACCTTTGCCTCCTCCTCCTCCTCCTCCTCCTCCTCCTCCTCCTCCTCCCCTTCCTCCCTCCTCCTCCTCCTCTTCCTCCTCCTCCTCCTCGTCCTCCTCCGTCTCCTCCTCCTCCTCCTCCTCCTCCTCCTCCTCCTCCTCCTCCTCCCCCTCCTCCTCTCCGCCTCTCCTCGTCCGCCTCCTCCTCCTCCTCCTCCTCCTCCTCCTCCTCATCATCACCATCATCATCATCATCATCATCATCATCCTCATCCTCATCCTCATCCTCATCCTCATCCTTATCCTCAGCATATTCCTCATCATACGCCTCCGTTGGCCTAAACCCAGGCATTCGCCCCAGCCCCCATCGCTCCCCGCGGCCCCAGAACCCTATGTTGTCGTTGTGGTCGTCGTTCGCCCCCCTTCATCTGGCCGAATGCGCGAACAGGATAAAACACCATAAACAGAAACGTTTGGCGAGCAACGCGGATTTCTTAGATCCGCGCTGGGCCCCCCTGGCGGCGCCTCGGGCGCCGCCCTTGCCGCGCTCCGCGACAGGGAGGGGGGTCCAGCGCAGATCCAAGAATTCCGCGCGGCGCGCCAAAAGTTTATGCATATGCCTTGTACTCGCTATTATCATATTATCGTTGTGGTCGTCGATCGCCCCCCCTTCATCTGTCCAACCTGTCCGTGGCCCTCGCCCCAGCCCTCTTGTCTAGGCCTCCCAGCTAAGGTCGGAGCAGATGGGGTCGGGGGATCGCGCCGCACCACCGATGCATCGGCGATGCGGCTCGATGCGGAGACTGTGTTTCTCCACTCCGACGTCGCCGATGCATCGACGATGCATCGCCGATGTATCGGCGATGCGGCGGCGTCATCCTCCGACCCCATCTAGTCGGGCCCATCCAGGAGGTCTTCATTCGTCTGGCCTCACTACCCGTGGCCCTCGCCCCAGCCCTCTCGCTACTTGATCATACAGAAGCCAGGGCATCCGTGCCACCTGCTACAGTTGCCATCTTCCTGTGAGCCAACAGCGTGGGCCCCGAAACGGCGAAACGAAAAAGTTGCAGCGGGAAGCTATCAAAAAAACAACACGTTTTGGTCGAAAGCGCCCCATCCCCCATTCTGGGCGGCGAGCGAGGGGGGGAAGTGAGAAGGGAAGGGCCATCTCAGAAGGCGGCGAGGTTTTTCAGAAGCCCTCCAGCCTTCCGAAAAGTTCCGTGTGTCGTCGGGGGCAGTTCAGAAAAGTGTTCAGAAGGCCAGGCGCCGTCCGAGCCTGTGAGAAGTCGGCAACGTGCAAGAGTGACCCTTCGCCGGAGTGACCCTTGGTGCGAGCCCATTGGGGCCCCCTGTTCGCTGAGCGCGATGCGATAACAGCGTCTTGTGCGCTCGGGTTTGGACCCCGCGCGGCCCCGAAAATCGCGCCCCAAAGGCCACTCTTACAGTCAACCCGCAAAGTAAGAATGGGCAACCTTCCCAAGGGTACCCTTGCATCCTTGCCCTTCGGTCCATCCTTGGCCGCCCTCGTTGGCCGCGCCCCGCTCGAAAAGCTGCGAAACGGGCGTCCAAGGCCCTTGCGTCCTTATCGCACATCCTTATTCCACGGGTTGACTGCACCCACGGTTACTCTTGCGTGTAGCTGAGAGAGGGCCCGCCCCTTCTCACTCCCCCCCCCTGGGCTCGCCGCCGACACCCACGACGGCGACGACGACGACGACGACGACGACGACGACGACGACGACGACGACGGCGACGGCGACGGCGACAGCGCGTGGCGCCGCGGCGCCGAGGCGCGGCGAGGTCGCCGCTGAGCCTGTCGAGGGCCCCCAGCGGCAGGGAGAAGGATGGGCTGCTTGCCGGAGCAGGCCGCGGGAGGAGGAGGGGGAGGAGGAGGAGGACGAGGAGGAGGAGGATAACGACGAGTTGGGGTAAGAGAAAAAAGAGAAGGAGGAGGAGGAGGATTACGACGAGGAGGAGCAGGAGGAGAAGGAGGAGCTCAGGGACTGGGCCCAGAACCCAGGGGTCGCGCTGGGCAGGCCGGGGGTCAAGCAGTGGCAGAGCGTCTTGGCTCGCCGATCAGACCCACCCAAAAAATTGTGCTGAGGACCCTTTGGCGGCTTGCGCGACATGGCCTAAGAACATGTCTGGCTGAGACCGTCTTGTTTTAACACATCGGCTGTACGTGCTGGCCGGGGGAGGAAGGGGGGTGTCGTAGCAGAAAAAGGTACCGACCTTGCCTCGTTTTCCCCGTTGTGGGCTTCCTGGAAAGCCCTCGTCGCAACGGCTGGATTCGCCTCGGAATTCTAGTCAAAATGCAACCTGAGAGAGGTCCTGGGAGTAGCGTTAAGTCGGGCGTGTCCCTCTACAGGAGGAATATCCAAAAATAGTACAACAATAGTCTGGGGACGCTTTTCCTATTATCAGTTTTGACCATTTTTGAATATTTGGGACTAGTTTATTCTTTCCTCCATACTCCGCCTGTAAGAGGACATGCCCGACCTAGGAGTAGCGGTATCGGTACCTTTTGGTTTCCCCAGGGGGGGATATATCAGCCGGGGTTCGGACGATCAGGGGTAATGATAAGTAGGGGGGATAATCAGGCACAGAGAGGGATCGCCGATAGGGGTCTGACTGCCCCACCCCGCCTGGACGCTCGGGTTCGGTATCGGGGGCCTATCGCCGATCGATCGGCAACGTATGGCCGATTCAAGGTCGAAGTTCCCCCCCTATGCCAGTCCCCCCTCCCTATCGTTGCCCCTCAGACGAGGATGAAGCCGTTCCAGAGCGTTCCGGAAAGCCCTCAGAGCGTTCCGGAACGCTGCGAGAAGGCCGAGGTGCCCGAAACATCCTCCAGAGCCGCTGGATCTCAGAGAGTCTCGATCTAGCCTCACACGAATGTACTCAGCCACGCGCAAAGGGGGGTGGGGGGAGGGGGGGGGGCTTCTTGGGAAGCACCCCTGCTTCTTAGAAGGCGCTGGCCTTATGCATAGATGTAAGGCCGGCGCCTGCTAAGAAGCAGCCTGCTTCTAAGAAGCCCTCCCCCCTCCCCGCACCCCTTGGCGCGCGCCGCGAACGTACCCTCATCTGGAGTTTGCCCTCGTCAGCGGCGGGCTGGGTCCAGCAGGCCGTCGGGCTGTAGCGGCGGGGACCGTCCAGAGCAAGTGGAGCACGGCAGGCGTGGGAAGGGCGGGGGAACGGGGAGGGGGGGGAACGGGGCCGCGGGAAGGCTACAGTGGGGGGTCCATGCCAAGAAACAGCTTGCTTGCCTCCAGGGTGCCATGGGTTTCTTGGGTTTCGACGGCTTTGCGATGGAAAGCGTGACGCCCCCACATCAAAAAACATAGGGACGTCCTGGGGTCTCGGTTGGGCTTCTCGTGTGAAAGTTCCTGGTGGTCGAGCCCCTCCTGTAGAGCACCCTCGGAGCACGAAACAAAGAGCTTCGGGGTGTGCCAGGGGCGGGTTCGCGCACTCGGTGCTGTCGGTGCAGGGGGAGCCAGGTCAGGACCGCAGGCCCAGGGTGAGGACGCCGAGTCGTGCGGAGGTCCGTGCAGAGTTCCGGGTAACCAGAGACCCCGCCAGAGAGTACCTTCGAAGCGCGGAACAAAAAGCCTCGGGGCGTGCCAGAGGCAGGCTCGCGTGCTCGATGCTGCCAGTCGAAGAACGAAAAACGGCATGAGCATAAATGTCGGGAGGCAGGCTCACGTGTTGGATGTTGTCCGTCGAAAACAGAAAAATTGCATAAACTTGCGGCGGTTGGACCCCCTGGCGGCGCCTCCGGCGCCGCCCCAGGCGCGCTCCGGTTCTAGCCCAGATCCCAGAGATCCGCGCGGACCTCCAAAAATTTATGTTTGTGCCGTTCTGTCTTCCTCCAGTCAGTGCGGGGGGCAGGGCAGGACCGCAGATCCAGGGTGGGGACGATGTGTCGTGTGAAGTTCCAGTACAGGCACGCCCACACGTGTCGTCACAACGCAGTCCCGGGAGGAGGGGCGGCACATTAAGCACAACAAGTAAGAATTCGGCTTCCCAGCCAGGTGCCCCACGGGAAAATCTCGGATCCCCCGACGGCCCCAGGGACCCACAGCAGCATCAGCCCCCAGTCGTCCATTCCTCGCCAATCCAGGCGTGAGTTAAGTCGGACCTGTCCCCCTACAGGGGGGATATCCAAAAATAGTCCAAAAATAGTCTGGAGACTATTTTTTAAATATTTGTCGACCATTCTGTTGCATTTTTTTACTACTTTTTTATTTTTCGTCGAAAATCCCCCTGTAGGGGGACACGCCCGACTTGAGGCTTGAGTGCCCCAGCCTGCCCAGGAGCGTGCGGTGCTGCTATCCGGAGACTACCGCCGATCTATCGGCGGTGTATCGCCGATGCCACCCCACCGTTCCCCCCGAGCCAGTCCTCTCCTGACGATTCCACTCATCGGAAAAAATGCCATAAACTTTCGGCGCTCCGCGCGGATTTCTTGGATCCGCGCTGGGCCCCCCCTGGCGACACCTCGGGCGCCGCCCTTGGCGCGCTCCGCGCGCCAGGGAGGGGGGTCCGGCGCAGATCCAAGAAATCCGCGCGGAGCGCCGCAAGTTACTGTTGATGGCGTTATTTCTTCTTCTGGTCCTCTCCTGTCGATCCCCCTCGGCTAACGTCTTGAAGTGCCCGTTGGCGCTAATTACGAGGGGGTTGCGGGCGCACGCCACGGGGATGAGCGCAGGCGGCAGTCTGCCGATGCCCTCCGGCTGACCCGGGGCCCAGCTGCTGGAGCATGGCCGCGAGGCCGAGGACCTCGTCGGGGGGCCCAGGCAGTGTTGTGGTGACCACATCGCGTGGTGAGGCAGCGGAGATCCGGGGCCATCGCACGGTCTGGGACCTCGGATCGTTCTCCGAGGACGTCTCGGGCGACCAGGGCCTCCGGGATCCCAAGAGCGCGCGGCGACGGACCGCGCGGTGATGTAAATTTAGGGCTTCGAGGTCACCGCGCGGTCCGTCTCCACACGGTTTCGGGCCCCCCGACTTTGAGAACGCAGTCGGGCCCCGTCGCGTGGGCACGGCGGCGACCCTGGAGATGAGGTATGTTTGGTTTTGCTGGGGCGCCCCCCTCGCGGCCACGGCTGGACGCGGCCCGAAAAGATGGCCGCGACGGCGTCGGCGATGGGTTTGGGGATAGATTTAAGTCGGCGTGTCCCTCTGCAGGAGGAAATAGTATGGGGGCGATTTTTCCACTCTTTTTTGGTTTGTATTTTGGAGCATGTTCTGGCTTCGTCCGCTGAAGATCGAACGCCGCCGGCGGACTGGTGGTCTGTCGGGCCGAACGAAAGGGGGGGGAGGGAAAGGGGGGGTGCAAAATCTGCAGGGGGCATGCCCGACCTGGGGATCGATCTCGAGCGACGTGGAGGCCTCTCGGCAGGGTCGCGCCGCGTGGGCGCGGCGGCGACCCTCAGCGCGGGGGCTGAAGGTCGAGAACGCCGCCGGCGGCCTGTGGTCTGTCGCCAGATGGGATGGGTCCCAGGGTCCTCGGGCCCCCCTTCCCGGGCCCCCCCCAGATGGGATGGGGGGGCCAGATGGGATGGGGGGGGAGGAGGAGGAGGAGGAGGAG